TCCTTAAAGTTTCATCCCACCTACAATTCCATATACAAAGGTCAAAAAACATTTTTAACCCAAATTGGTGTTCAGATTTTGCACAGCCTATTTCTTCACAAAGTTACTTAGTATTTTTATTTTCATTGCTAAAAATGAAGCTTTATTTTCTTAGAAGAAATGAAAAGCTTTATTTCCTTAGAAAATGCATGTTTAAGTGACTATAAGGGACTTAGGCTTCATCCTACCCATTTGTTACATGTTTCTTCATCCACGCACTACAAAAATGGTGCCACAAGAGTCAGCTGAGCCAGCATTTAATACATGCCACCAAGCAAACACTCTCTGCCATTTACAAAGGAAGAACACAAAGACTAGGTGAGCAGTAAAACAGAGAAATTGGGTTCTATCATACATCCATAAAAACTGTGATCAAACCCAGGAGACCACCCTGTGGAACAGGTAGGTCCTACTGTGAAAGCACTTAAATTCCCAAGGCAGCAGTTGAAGCAAAACTGAAGATACTTCAGCTCTGTCTCTTGATTTAGCACCACTGTTTCTCCCATTCCAAAAACTAACATGAGGAATTAAATCTGCAACAGAACTTTAATTTGGAGGCCTTGGTTGGAAGGAAATTAACTACAGAAATTAACTAGCAATAGGTACAAACGAACAAAGTAAATGTGAGGCCTATTGCAAGGAAGCAGTAGGAATATGTAGGTAAGGGTATTAAAAGACTAAATAGATTCACCTGTTCTGTAGGCAACTCACCTCTGCATTGGCTTAGCTGTAACATGGGACTACAGCCCAAAGTTCATCAACACATTCATCGCACGCACTGAAGGGGTAGTAGGCAGGAAAGATTGCATACAAGCACTCCTTCACACTTACGTGATTAAAATTGCTGCAGAACACTGCAAATTAAACTTCTGAAGACAACTCAGATACTTGGATGGGCAGATGTAAGCGTGACTGTATGTTACAAAGCATCTAGTGGGCAATGCCTACTTACTGAGGTTGGCCTCCAACTCTCAGACCTTTATCAATCCTGACAACGCTACTGATGAGGTTGTTTTCTGTGAAGTCTTACTAGATTCCTCACCCATTTCCAAATGCTGCCATCTAAAATCTATGTTAGGAGACTGGTGATAGTGTAGAGGTTCCTTATACCATTGAATGTTTTGTCTTGTCAAACTACAGCCTCAAAAAATGCTTTAATTCTAAATTATTTTTTTCCTTTTCCAAAGGAAAGGGCCATTTACAGATAACATAGCACACTTTTTCACTGTTTCTTCAGACAGCAGCACGTAAAATTGTGTTGCTGTACTACAGTTATAAATGTCTGAAAAAGTTGTCCAATTTAAGAGTTAAGGTTGCTAGTAAGATCTTTTAGATTTTCAGAAAGGGACCTTATCTATATAAATTTTATACACATTCAAACCCCAAGAGCCACAAGATTTAGATACAGGGTATGCAACTTAACACAACTCTCCCAGCAACAGTAATTTCATTCAGAAGCTGACCAACCCAAGCCACAGGTAATGCTTCCATAATGGTGGTGATGCTACAACTTGACAATGTACACTCCTATTTCAGAGACTTCAACACCAATATGGTGAGAAGTTGAATATATTAAGTAAATGTCAGATACTGAAGTCAGCTGATGGGAGGCCTTCATGAACAGGTCATTTATCTACTGTATCAGTGGTATTCTTAAAAATTACTTGAAGATAATAAATTTGAGCAGTAGTTGAGTCACCATCCCTAGAGGTATTTAAAAAACGTTTAGGGATGACTTAGTGGTGGGCTTGGCAGTGTTAGGTTAATTGCGGGACTTGATGCTCTTAAGGCTCTTTCCCAACTGAAATGATTCCCAGATAAATCCACCAGCCTTCACTACTTCAAAAAGTAATTTGTGTTTTAGACAAAGTGCCATCACAACATTCAACTCCTATGTGTGATAAACATTAGCTAAGAACTCCAACACGGTCTTTTATGTGGAACATAAAAGAGAGAGTAACAAATTGCGCTTTATCACAGAAATGCCTTGTTGAAAGTTAGTAGAAATTCCATAAAAAGCACTGGTGCTTTTTAACAGATAGGTTATTGTAATGGCTTCAACTATTAGTATAATCTCCAGAAAATTCTGTTAGTCATGTGACAGGTACATTAAAAACTTTTGTAGAGACTAAACCAATAAGAGAGAGCAACAGGTCCTCCAGTACTTTTCAAGTTGAACTCTTGCAAGTGTAAACTGTTTCTAGTACCATCTTAGAAGAGGCTTGGCTCTGTTTCACTCTGCAACTACAGGATCATTAATATCTATAACAGCAAGTACGGGTTTTCAGCAGCCCAGGCTACTTCAGCTTAAGATCAAGCAGTCACTCTAATCATTCTAGTAATTTTAAGAGTTTAGAATCTGGATTCAGTGTCTCTACTATGTATATGTATTTATTATCCTCTGAAAGTAAATATGCTCAAATCCTTTAAATGTTTTTACTGCTTTCAGTAGAAGATTGCTTAAAGAACGCTTTGTGGTCCTTCTACATGAGTGAGTAATGAGCTTACTTCAGATGAATGAATCTTCTACAGTAACAGAAAGTTTGCAAAAATAGTAAAGGTCACCTTGACTAAGACAACCTTTTACAGTTTTTGCATTTTATGTCCACCAATTAATGTGTGAAGAATTTCTTCAGACAACCTTTCTTCTCTCAACAGGTCAACATCTCCACAATTCATATACTATAGACAGCAGTACAGAATACTGGCTTAAAACAATTCAATTTCCAAATCAACAGCTCCATTCAATAGAATTATTTATATAAGTCTTATTCCTTACATGATTTTAACTTGACCAAACTGCTAATGTTTTCATATTTGTGGTATGCGAAGAGATATGCATCACACTGTGTTCACTGGTTCTCAAAACCTGGTTTTATTTTCTTGTTTAAAAATATGTTAAAGAGGTTATTGACTTCCAATCCAACAGCTTAAGAGATATTTAATGACAGAAGCCACATCTGCAAGAGATCAACTAACAGTAAAAAAAAAAGGCAGCTGCAAGTAGGCACATGTAAAAAGAGATATGCATCACACTGTGTTCACTGGTTCTCAAAACCTGGTTTTATTTTCTTGTTTAAAAATATGTTAAAGAGGTTATTGACTTCCAATCCAACAGCTTAAGAGATATTTAATGACAGAAGCCACATATGCAAGAGATCAACTAACAGTAAAAAAAAAGGCAGCTGCAAGTAGGTACATGTAAAATAAAGCTTCTTAGCACTAAGAAGTGCAGTATTTACAAAAGGAATAGAGAACAGCTCTGAAATATTTTTGTCCATCATTTGCAGTTCCACTATTTACATACTCTAACATCATTCAATAATTTTTCCTGCATTTAGAGTAACAATTAAATACACTCCACTCCAAAAGTAACTAATAACATTAAACAGCTGAAGTTAAACAGTTAATTTTTAGAACTTTCAATACAGATTGAACTACCTGTTCCCCCAGATATCTGCTATCAAAGAACATAAGAAATCAGACTACAAGGTGTGACAACAGATGTTCAAACAAAGGTCATAAGATAATTGTATTAAGAGGAAGAACAATCTCTTCCTGTAATATCTGCCTCAGAGTGAGCTGATGAACAAAGTTCTGGTTCACAAATATTTCATCAGCTAGCCCAGATGAATGGAAGCAAGCAGGTGTGGTACAACATTTAGTCCTGCATGAACAAATTTGAAAATATTACAAGCTTCTTCAACTAACAGTTGCAGTAACATTTTTCTAACCTCATCTCCTATTCCAGGTTCACTACAAATCTTAGTAAGATTTCCTCATCTTTATGACTGTTGAACTTAACCAATATCATCGTGTGTACCAAGGAGCGAGATCGATATATTCTCATGAGTCATGTGAAAAATGGCTGGTTCGGAAAGGACATTAATGGCCTCACTGACACAAACTACACTGAATGGACATCCCTTATTAGTTGCCAGACAATTCATGTGTGAACTCAAGTTTCAAGGCATCTTATTTATTATTTGAGCAACTTCATGCCAAACACTTCAAAACAAAAACTGAAATAAACACAACAAAGGATAAAGGATACTCTCTTTTATAATGTGTATATAACGATCCTAAATGATCAGTCCTCACAAGAAATTTAAGTAAGCTGGATGCATCATTTGAATTGTAAGTTACAGTCACAGCATTTGAACACAGAAAGGTATAACTAATATTAGGTAAGATCAGAGAAGCAAAGAAAAGGGAAATTCACACAGCACTAAGGCAGTTAAGGAAAACTTTACCTGAAAATGGCATACAAAAACATTACACAGCATGAAATCTTTTGGCCAAATGATTTATGTGGGTTCATATAATGAAAATACATTGTTAACCTCCTCTTCTCCGAGTGTGGCATAATGAGTAGGAGCACATATGAACAGAGACAAAACACTGTTGACTTAACTAGTTCTTGGTAAAATGGATCACCTGTCTAATATGTATCAGAGAACAGAAACAGATGAAGCTTATTCTCCCCAGGATAAAATTTACAAGCTCTACCAGAGAGAAAGCTTGTCTTCCCACTTTTACTTCCCCACACTCTGCCAACCCAGATGGTTTTTCAGTCAGCTGGCAAAAGCAGAGGGAAACCACACCTCTGAGCAACTTCACAGTGGAGATTCCATCACATGAGACATTTAAGCAGCTGCCAAAGCTATATCCCACTCCTCCCTGTTTGCTGAAGTAACAATTTATTTTTTTTTTTGCTTGATTTGCTGTTAATTGCTCTCTAGCTGGAGCTCACAATACTCTTAGTGGCCACCATTTCTTTTGCTACACCGCAAAGGAACTTTCTCCTTCATCTATCTACTCCATAATCAGAGTACTCTCTCTGATCTAGTAATATAAACAGCATTTGTTTGATGTTCTGAACTTATCTAGAGCATCACTTACTGAAAAAAAAGTCATAGTAATATACCTCAGGTAATTTGTTCTAAACATTTGTATCTCACCTTTGACAGAAGCAATTTCACACAGGAAACATGGCCCTCATAGACTGCTGATAGGAGTGGTGTGATATTATGTTTGTCTGGAGCCTGTAAATTGAGACACAGTTATTTGAAGCATAATTTCACATACTAAAAAGCTTCACTTTTTACTTCTGTTTTGTCAGCAGTAGTGTAAAAGTGAGGATTTAAGAATATTAACCAGAAATAGATTCCCTTACATTTTTTACTCTCATTTTAAAAAGAAAAATATTTTTTTAAAAGAGTCAGGTAACAGCAAGATATTTCTTCCGTAAGACTTCTAACTGTCCCAAAGTTTATCCATTTCTTTAGGTCAGTGATAGAAAGTGGTGTTTCAGCTGATGATTTGTGCCCAATTTAAGAACACTACTACTAATTCTCCTATTTCTAATCCAGCCTATCTGCAGAAATCAGTTTTGGCTGAAACCTTGTTTGAGCTGTCTTCTCTCTAAACTATAGTCCTGAAAAGAATAAGAAATGGAGTGACTGAAATGTGGGGTATTTTTTCCTGCATTTTTATTTCCTTCCCAGTTAGGAGACCTCCTGATGAAGAGATAAGTCTTCCTAGACACCAAGGGCAAAATCCAAGGCATTTTGTTAAGGGCTAAGGCTAAGATATGCTGTATATTAACTTTCATATAAGTACTCTAAAGCACATCATTTGGGGTGTATAGTTAATGTACCTAGAAAATTCACTTAATGGAGAACTACACTATTTAAGTGGCAATACAGCCCAGTCAAGCCTTTTCATGTCAAAAAGTCAAGCACGGCAAGCTATAGCAAAATGACTAAGTTTGTTACGTCTTCAAAAATGGGAGAAGGACAACAATCTGAAAAGCTGATCCTGCCTTGATCAAGGATGCATTGCACTGTCTTCTGAAATCCCTTCCAACAAACATAATATGCATTTCACACATACTTTATTTAGATGTGGTTACTGGATTTCTTTCTCTAATCACAGTCAAACTAAATTTCAACTTTTTAGAGCTGCAAAGAACTTTTCCTAGCGTGTCCAAAAAGAATACAAACATGAAATAAATACATTTTTAAGCTTCTAAACTCCTGGAGACCACATCACAAATATTTTTAAATGGATCAAATTGTTTAGTTTGATCCAAGAATTTCAGCAACCATTTCAGCACTTAAACTAATCCTTTAAATGTGTATGTATATGCTTGTGTGAGAGGGAAAACCCTAACACCCTAGTGTTTGTTAATTGATGTACATACATTAATATCAGCTCCTTTCAACAGCAGAAATTCCAGAATCTCAAGTTGTCCACAGTCTGCTGCATAGTGAAGAGGCTTCCTCCCACCTTCAAGTGTCCGGTTGACATCTTCACCCTTCAATGTAAACATAATCTAATAAGCAAAATTTTAGAGCTAACACACCAAGAGCAGCTTGAAAAAAATCCAACACCTTCATATTGCTGAAGAATGTTCCATCCAAATATTTAAGCCATTTCCCAATAAAAATGAAAAATAAGTTGCTCAATTTCCTTTCCCTCATCTATGTGAACCAGGTAACTCATGTGATTACAAGCAAACAAAAAAATCATTAGAGCTTAGAAAATGCTCACATCAACTCATTTTGCTTCTCCTTGCCTCCAGCTGGGATCCTGGTTATCTAGCTAAGTTAATTCTTCTACACATATTTTGCAAGTTTTGCACACTTAGAAACCAGATGCAGAGAAATAGGCATCATAACTACTAGCAAGTACAGACCATATATAAAACCCAATTATGAAACTGTCCATTCTGTTTTATAAATAGCACCTGCCAATTCTGCTTGACATTAAAAAAAAAGTCTGAAGACAGTCAATCAAATCAGGACATGGGAAGTTGTATTCTAATGCCACTCGTGCTAGTGGATTGAGACATCTCAAGGCGTAAACAAAATTTAATTTAGTGAGTGCCTAATCAGCTTTGTTTCTTCACCTTGGGTTGCGCAACTAAGGATAAACTGATTTACTGCACTTCAGTAATGACAAGAAGTTACTGGAAACCAAATACCTACAAGCTATGTGGTAAGTGACTTCTTGTTCACATGTACAAGTAATGTTAGCATTCTAGGGAGTGGCTAAATTTAGCATTGTACCTCAAGCCCTGCATCTCCACAGAAAAACAATCAAAAGAATTTCAGCTGCAGCACCAAATCACACTTCTTGACAGATTCCCTTGCAGTTTTCTCACTCCTACCACAAATCTTTAGAAAAGTTCCCAAAATAGTGTCTGGAAGATACATGTCAAGCCCTCTATCTCCCTTCTACAAACGGAAGATTAGAATGTCATAAGGAAATCTTATTCTGCACTTGATGTTATGTATTAACAGCCAAATAACAAGATGACCTCGGAATACTCCTATCAATAGCATATTCAATTCTTCTTCACAACATACCCTGCTGAAAGTCAAAGCAACACAACACTGCTTGAGACTTTTAAATACAACACTCTGCATTCCGTGGTCTCAGAGTTCAGGAACTGGTTTTCACAATATTCAAGGTTCTAGCTTCAAAGTAGAATGAAGTAGCATCAAATAGCACAATTAAAACAAAACAAAACAAAACAAAACAAATAACAACACAAAAGTCACAAAACCTCTGCAACTGCTGTTACTGACTCCAAAATTCAGTTAGGACTTCTGAACTATGTTGCACACATGGAAAAATATATTTATCTACTATTTTCAGAACAGACTGTACTTCTAAACAAAGTCCGCCATAGCTTTAGCTATGTGGATTATCACTCCTTACAGTAGTTTATAACAAAGTTCCAGTTAGTTTACCAGTAAACTTGTTGCAAGAGTCTTTTCATGCAACTTCTCTTTTGCTGAAGTTAGTACAAAACATTGGTAGCAATACGTTAATAACTGTGTTCCAATAATAAATAATCATCCAGATCACAGTAGCCACATTGGCTACAGCACAAAGTAGTCGCATTGGTCTGAAAAGCATATGAGGAAGCAGCGTATACTTAGCTTATCTACAATGTTAGGCTCTATCCATATTCTTACTTGCCTCTTGACACTTCCTAATTTTAAAACAGCTGGCATTAAAATAACACATGATGTTCACACTTACATTAAGGATTGGGATGCATAAGTTTAGGGAGCCAAACACGTAAAAGCTATGCAATCACTATCCCAAAGCAGGCTCTAAAAACTCCAGTAATATCTGACATATGCTAAGACATGGTAAGTAAAGGGGTAAGGGAAAAAGACAAGCAAGCTAACTCCTGGGACAGCACACAGTAAAGCTACAGAGTTCACATTCAAAAAGAAATTTAGAATCATCATATCTTAAGCTTAGGACAGTTCAGCAAAGCTCCACTTTCCTTAAGCTTATAACTATGATTTGGCTCATTGGCTTACACTACAGGATTTAATTTTTTTTAAAAGAATCTACCACAGATCTGTCTGTTCTCTTCTATGGAATAAGTTCCTTCTGGACAATGATCTTTTGAAAAGAAAAAATAACACCCAAACACTGCTTTTTCTAAGTGTCCATTAAAGATAATGAAAGCTTGTTTATAAAGAGTACCTAGCAAAAAGTCTGCAAAGATGTCCCAAACACCGATTATGTGGATCTGAACACTAGTACTGAGAAAATGTAACAGCAAAGTCAAATATCAGAACATTTTATTCCAAATTAACACAACCAAGATATCCTATAAGTTGAAATAATAAATTAAAAAGCAACTACTAGATTCTGCAATAAACAAAGTCAAATATCGAGTTGCTTTACAGGTGTGAAAAGCCACTGTAAAGGAGACAGTTGAACGTTACAAAAGTTCATTTGGCCGTTCTTATTCCCAGTCCAAAACACATAAAGTAGAAAAGGAAGACAAATCAACCAGTTGCACATACAGGGAACAAACTCTAGCACAAGCATCTGTTTTAAATCCAGTCTCAAACATGTACATCAAGAATTGCAGGACACTTCATAGGTAATTTCTCTCTGGTCTTTAGATTTCCTACTTAGATTACCTGGGGCATGTCCCCATAGAAAAAGCAGTGGTTTCCAAAGTGGTCCACAAAAATCCCAAGGAGAGTGCAAGACAATCCATTGAGGTGTGAGAAGAACATATTTTTTTGCATTGTTAATAAAGTGTGAAAATAGCAGTTTATCTCTTTTTTAATTTCCATTTTTTGGTTATGTTTTTGTAATGCACATAGTATAGTAGCACATGTATCTAGTTTATAAATAAAAGCACAGATATTGGTGGTGCATACTTAATTTTTATTTAACTTTTTTTTACTGATGGGGTGGCATGATCAAAGAAGGTTTGGAGACCACCAGTCTAGAGCTTTATTGGTATCCATGGAAACAGTAAATGAATTCTTTTTCAGAGGGAGTCTCATGCCGGAAGAAGAAACAATTTCAGTTGAAATCTTACAGGTCAGCTAAAGAAAGCCCTAAACCTCACCCCTGCAGACAAATTCTGAGATTAAATATCAACTGTTGTAAAGATCACAAGAATATCCTTATAGTTCCATTTTGCAAAGACAAAGCGCCTTTAGACATGAAAATATTGACTTCATCTTTAATTGAAATTTTATAAATTTCAATCTTTGTCTGCACCAGCTGCCATTTATGTACTTAAATAAGAACTCAAGACATAGGTTTCACATAAGTGGAAAAGTCAGAGAACTGCCTGAACCCTCATGATCCAAACTGGCAGTAGCATGCTGGTGCCAAAGACAGTTATCACAGCCACAACAATATTTTCACTTGGCCGGACATTGATGTGAACCACACATTAACATCTCATACAAGGACATCAAAGATTACTTAAGCTGTTTTTCTCCTTTAAGCTTAGGATGTACAGTCCTGTGGGTTCTGATTTTTGTCTTCACTGGATGAGCACTCGAAGTTGGATTCTCTTGCTCTTCCACCAAAAGTATTCTGTTTAGCTACACCAGGGAGACTTATTGACTTATGTGGGAAGTTGGATTCTCGGTCTTGACAGACTGGCCAGCAATGAGAGACCACATTTTGTACAGGATACATCTTCTCTGCATGGTGACATCTGAAAAGTGATTGACTACGTACTACAGAATCTGAGGAATCACACTAACAAAGATAATACACCTTGTAGCTATAGAAACAAGAGACAAATGCCTATTCATATCTTCATACAATAAGCTAAATTTTAAGCATCTCCTGAAAGATTTTTAGTTTCTAGTATGGGCCTACAAATTCACTAAAAATTGTGCAAATGTTTGTGCAAAGCTTCAGAAAAGAATTTGCCTTTGCAAAAGGAAAGACATAATTCCCCTTTAATGATCTTCCAGAACACACTGAGTGTACTTAGTCAGATATTTAAGGCTAAGTCTGGCATAAATCACACTAGTAATGTTTTTTCTTTGCAGATCAAAGACTTATGGTACCAGCTATGCAATAACATTAAAAAAATGGTTCAACACATAAAACACCAGAATCAGCAGTTAGCAGGTATCTGCTTTAATCCCCTCTATTAAAGACTGATTACAGGTAAAGAAAAGCCTCACTGTGAACCCCCAATTACCAAACAAGACAGCACAACAGATCTTTCTAACATGTTGATCTTATGTCCTACTTATAAGAGTCATATACCTGGATAACAGCAGAATATTCAGTTAGAAGGACTTTAAACATTAGCTTCAGTTCAAAGCTGGCTATTGACTTTTCACAGAAGGACAGCAAAGTAAAACCTGGAAGCTGAGTTCTAAATACTTGAAGAACTTTCTGTGTTTTTTAAATAACTAATAGTAGGGTTCATTATAGCATCATCTGAATGTAACCATCACCCACTTTCTGTAATGGAGCAATTCAATCCATGAAAAGATCTGTTCTAACTAATTTGAGAGTACTGTCAAAGTTAATTACTCTTGAACTTAATTTTTTGCACTACACTCTCTCTCACACATTTTTCCTTGCTCTAGCTTTCCTTGCCAATATAACTGCACAAAACTTACGGTTGTATCTCATGTCCTTTACCAGTTAAATTCCAGTCAAGCTTTGGCTTTTAGTTCCATCACTGCACACCCTGGGAAAGTGCCTACATTCTTCTTGGTATCCACCCTCAATTCCACTTTTTGAGCTCCTTTTCTTTGTATGTGAGCTCAGATAGGAGCTCCCTGACAGCCAAGTTGCTCTCCTGTCATACTTGTTTGATGTCCCATATTAACCTGGAAGGATATGAACCTTAAAAGCTGTCCTAGTTAAAAGAACAAAACAGATTTCACTGACTTTGCCTCTAATGCACGTTATGACATCAGCTCATTGAAAATGGTGAATTAACAATTTAATCATAAATTACATTTCTGAAGTTTATTACTTTCTAGGTAGATTATTTACCTACAGCAAAAAGACACTGTC